ATCCCTCCCTCTACGTCCCTCCCTCTAGTCCCTCCCTTCCCTTTATCTCTCCCTCCCTCCCCTCCCTCCCTCCCTCCAATGATGCGGGCCCATACCATGCTTTATAAGTATTTTTGGAATTAGAAAGTTTTAGGGTTTATAAGTAGAGTTATAGTAAAAGTTCTGAAAGTCTACCCAGTATGAGAAATCTGATACGACTCCTCATATCCTGGTACTGATTTTCACTTACCTCTCAGTACACTATATCACTCATACTTGTACGGCATACAGGATAAAAATCCCTTCTCATACATGTGCCACTCATACCACCTCTGTGGTGTCTCTCTTCTTTCTACTCACTACATGCCTCTTTCATGCCTCATCAGTGTCGCTCCTCATGTCGTGAGCGCCGGAAGAGAGGACAGCTGGGATGGACAGAAGAGAAATTGCTTACTGCAAATAGCAGTTTAACCAGAATGAGAAGACATCACAATTTGTTCACCTGAGTTACTTTGCCAACAGGGAGAAAAGTGTGACTAGGGAGCCATGTCGCTCGTCACTTCTTTGCGTTTACTTTTGCTGGGCTCAGTTATCATTTCGAGCACAGAGGTAAAGATCGACCTCCAAACTGGATGGGTGATTTTTGATCCTTTGGTGTCACTGCAGGGGCTGTGCTTCACTTCTCGGCATATCGACTGCCTTGATAGCAAGAAGAGAACCGTTTGCCAGCACTCGTGTCTGCGGATGCGAGGAGGAAACGAAGGTACGGATGTTTTGAACGCATGGGACGTAGCCCTTGAAGCTGCAAAGAAGAGTGTCGAGACATTGAGAGATCAAGTCACGAATGCCATCGTGCAGCAAAATTTCAACGACATTCTCAAGTTTGATATTATGGCAAGGCAAAGCGAATATAATTTGAATCGTTTATACGCAATGAGGGAGCAAAGTCAGGCTGAAAGCACAGGCGACGAGATCAAGGCCGCAAGGGCTCGTCAGAAAGTCGCGGAAGCAAAGCTAGGCTTGACGTTGTGTACGAGGGAGGCAGAGCTTCGGGAGGCTGAAAGCACAGGCGACGAGATCAAGGCCGCAAGGGCTCGTCAGCAAGTTGCGGAGGCCGAGCTTCTGGAGGCTGAAAGCACAGGCGACGAGATCAAGGCCGCAAGGGCTCGTCAGAAAGTCGCGGAAGCAAAGCTAGGCTTGACGTTGTGTACGAGGAAGGCCGAGCTTCGGGAGGCTGAAAGCACAGGCGACGAGATCAAGGCCGCAAGGGCTCGTCAGCAAGTTGCGGAGGCCGAGCTTCGGGAGGCTGAAAGCACAGGCGACGAGATCAAGGCCGCAAGGGCTCGTCAGAAAGTCGCGGAGGCCGAGCTTCTGGAGGCTGAAAGCACAGGCGACGAGATCAAGGCCGCAAGGGCTCGTCAGAAAGTCGCGGAAGCAAAGCTAGGCTTGACGTTGTGTACGAGGGAGGCAGAGCTTCGGGAGGCTGAAAGCACAGGCGACGAGATCAAGGCCGCAAGGGCTCGTCAGAAAGTCGCGGAAGCAAAGCTAGGCTTGACGTTGTGTACGAGGGAGGCCGAGCTTCGGGAGGCTGAAAGCACAGGCGACGAGATCAAGGCCGCAAGGGCTCGTCAGCAAGTTGCGGAGGCCGAGCTTCGGGAGGCTGAAAGCACAGGCGACGAGATCAAGGCCGCAAGGGCTCGCGACAAGCTGCAGGATGTAGGTCTAGAATTGTCGGTAGCAATTGCGCAGAAAGAGCTGAAGGAAGCAAGTAAGGACGACGTTGATCTCTATCAGAGGCAACTCGACTTCAGCCTGTATGCTCTCAAAACACATCGAATGTACAGCGGAACAGAAAATTTCTTTACGGGTAAGTCTGAGTATTAGTTCCGATTACTTTTGACCAGTTGATTGCTAGCTATGCAAGACCTTGCCAACAAAGTCGACATGCATAAGGTCATATCGTCCTTGAGGCGATACCTTGCCAAATTTCTTGACGGACAAAGAAGCTTGGCATCATCAGCGGGGAAAGCGAGCAGGCTTTTCAGCATATTGAACCCAATCAACACACTGGTACAGGATGCGAACGACGTAACAGCTACCACTCACTTGTGCGTGATTGAAGCTTGTTCTGGCAGTGGGAAGTCGTTGTGTGCTGCTGATTTCTTTGTGCGAAATTCAGACCAGTGTATTTATTTTCTCTTCAGCCCTTCGAAGAAACAAAACAAGCAGAGCTTGTACCAAAACGTGTCAAGCATCACAAACTTGATGGGCTTGGCCATGAACTGCGACCTTATCTCGTTGATTCGGTCTACAACTCCTACATTGAGTACTGAACTTCTTGGAGTATTAGATTTTGATTTGAAAGAAAGTGAAAGGAAGTGGTATTTGTTGGGAGCTCTTGGCTACTTGTGGAAGGAGACGACTACCGTTGCCCCTGTCTCTGTCAAGGAAGCGATGAACTGGAAACAGCGATGGGTTCTGATGGATGAGACCATTCCTCCTGAGCAGGACTTCGCAGCGATCGCCAAGCTGGTGCTCGTCAAGAGGGTGTTGACAAACGCAAACATTCACTGCATCATGTTGGGGACGAACACTTTGGTCATGAATATCGATAAGGTTTCAAGGAGCTCCGAGTACAGTCGCGATGAAGATCGAACAATGATATGCTTGACTCATCGCTCTCTACCTAGGTACATCTTGCCGTCGAGCAAGGACGAAGAGCTGTTGAAGAAGTTTTTCGGAGAGTCACGAGTCTCTCAACTGTTGGACAACGTCAACCCATGGCTCTGCTCGCTTTTCTTGTCTAATTTGAGGCGAATCCCCGAAATCAAAAATCCATCCAGTTTGATTCGAAACATCTCCAGAGCGGTCCTGCTTAGGGTAAAGCGCGACAAAAGGAGCCTGAAGGACGAATCTATCTACTGCATGTTTCAGATTTCTGCGCATGAACCTGTCTCTCAGTTGCACATCTCCAAGGGATTTGCTCAGCTGAATGTGTGGGACAGCAATTCGCCACGGCGGGGCAGTAAAGAATCTATGCCTGAAATGACTAGATTAGAAAACGAGGTGGAATTGAGAATCCATGACACTCCTCTTCCAGAACTGACCGCCTCTTTCCCACCTGCTGTGCAAGATCCCATCACCGTGGCTGTTTGTGCTGGGGGAGGACGGCCTTTCGGCCAAAGATCGGCGCTTCAGGTCTTGCAGGGCATCCACAAGCAGAAGGCAGTTTGGAGTAATCCCATTAATGTGGATGCGTACAAGCGAGATGCGAACGAGTTAGAGTCGTTTGGTGCAGTTGTCCTGATGATCAGCAGCTGGTCTCCCTGTAAGGACCTTCTGAAGAATATCGCTTATCACTGCGGCATTCAAGAAGACCAGCGAAGTGTAGGTGAGATTCTTGCTTCTGTCAGAAACAAGAAAAGCTTCATGCGAATCCTCGAATCCTGCGTATCCAACTTAGCTCCTGTACGATGGAGTGAGCGGAGAGACGCAGCTTCGCCGTTCATGGGCTACTACATCCGCAACCAGGACAGACAGAGAAGGGACGGCACCTTTACAGGACCAACCACTGCAAGCGAGAAATCATTGATGGGAGGAGCGGAGTACAAGAATTGGAAATCTGCACTTACGCCTGAACAGTTGTCAAAGGTGCTCTCTAAACTGTTGAAGCAGGATCTGGATGTTAATGTGTGCATGGTTCCGGAGATATCAATCAATGTGACAGAGAACAATCTGAAAGCAATCATGAACAATACTTGCATTCCATGCAAGACTGAGTGGCTTGTATTGCATCTCAAAGGTGAAGGCTGGAGATCCTTTTCATTTCAGATTGATGCATTTCATGATAATCAGACGACGAAAAGAGACGAAGAATGCGTTCATAAGCAAGCAGGGGTTGATCTGGAGCTTGAGCCTGTCAAACGAAAAGTGCTGATGATCATTGAGGTTGGAATTAAAACTCAACCCTTCTGCGGTAAAGGAAGATATGATCAGTGCCCCAAACGGAAGAAGCGAAGAGATCAACGTGGAAGAAGGAAGGAAAACGTATCAGAACCAACAAAGAAAGGAAAAAGAATTGTCGACAAGTAAAGAAAGTGCGCAGCAATGCTGTATAATTATGTGCATTGTAGTAAAATGGAGCTCTTTTTGGATCCTGCTCTTGTATACAACATGTTCCTATCATCATACAGAGGTGATCAAGAAGTAGCCTTCGGCGGATGCTGGAAGCTTGACCGAGTCAATTTGGTTGATGTGCTGTTCTGCACCGTTGGGTATGAGAGGCTTGGTTACGGTGCCTGCATGGCCTGCCCCACTGGCAGGTACCGCGACAGGGCTCCTCAACTCCTCTCCCCCCCATACCTCCCTCGCTCCCTCGTGTCCCTCGCTCTCTCCTTTGCTCCCTCGCTCCCTCTAGTCCCTTGCTCCCTCCCTCCCTCTAGTCCCTCTCCCCTCGTGTCCCTCGTGTCCCTCGCTCCCTCCCTCGCTCCCTCGCTCCCTCGATCCCTCGCTCCCTCGTTCGCTCCCCCTCCCTCGCTCCATCCCTCGCTTATCGTCTCATGGCACGCCACCAGATGGTATCAGAGATGGCACGTAGGATGGCACGTCAGTAGCACGCAGAGTAGCACGTAAACAGCGCGGGTCTGAGTGGAGATGTGGACTATTGGATAACATGGATGCGAGTGGAGGGCGCCGATGGTGGGGCTGGGAGCCTGGGAGCAAGTCTCAAGTCTCTTGGCTTTCATCTCGAGGATGGCTGGCTGCGACAGGTGAGGTCTTCACTACCGCTGTGTGAGATGAGAATGCTTGCAGGCACATCGAGCATGCAGAAGAACGGGTAGAGATGCCGACAAAGAACTCTATGAGCTCGCGCTCTACACCGATCTCAGACTGTCAGGCAGAGCTTGTCTGCCTCCTGGGATAAGGTCTATGCACAAGCAAACAGTGAGCGGAACATTCGTGCTCCAGGTAAGAATAAAATGACCGAGTTGGTCGCTGTGTGAAACAGCATTTTCAGATCGACGAAGTCATCAACATCTCAGAGCCGAATGAGCACCGATTGGCAGATACGAGAGGAAGGATGTTGAAACTACTTCTCACGGATGGAACCGAAAATATTTGTGGGTTGGAGTTGAATGAGATCCGAGATTTGAGCGTGAATTCTCCCGCGGGTGTGAAAGTACTTGTCAAGGATTTTGAGATGAGACGCGGTGTGGCTCTATTTGGTCCGCACAATCTCTGTGTTCTTGGGGGTATGTGCTCAGATCTAGAGAAGAAGAGGCAAAAGGCCATGGCCGAGCTGGAGAAATCCAGGAAAAGACTTCAGTTGATTGCAAATGATCCTATGGACGACGAAATCAGCCATCAGGAGGATTTTGATGCCAACCAGCCAAGTCGGCGACGAGAAGTGAATGCGTTGGCTCCATCAGGGAGCCGAATATCTGCCAACGACTTCATGAGGAGCCCGAATCAGAACAGGGGCCATGTGATTGGTGAAACGGATTGGTGAACCCGTG